TCTCACTTCATACGTTTACTTCAGACGATCACTGTGGCTTTGAGTCTACATCAAAGTAGAGATCGTTAGTGGGTCACAATCACCAATTGCCAGAATTAACAATTACCAAGCAATTCTACAATTTCAATGCCAATTCAACAAATGTGAATAAATATTGACTATTGTTGATTAGCTAGTTGGATGATAACATTAATTGTAACAAACTCCAAAAACTGCACTAAAACTGTAGAAAAAAAACATAAAATATAAAATTCAGATATGTACATTTTTGTATTTTAGTTAAGAAATGTTTAAATGTACAGTTCAGAAATATTTATGAAAAGATAAAATCCACCATTGTCTGGTGAGACATAAAGTTAATTTGGGACTTAAATCAGTTTCAAGATTCTTCTCTTTTCTTCTGATGTAATCATTCAGCAACAGTTCAGCTACTTTTAGATGCTCCAGATCTGCTAGACTTGTTGTTCTTACAGAAACAAGCTGATTATTTCATTGTAGCTTGTAATCTGAAACTATTCTGCTGTATTATGATAGATTTTTACATCAAAAGCATCAGGTTATTTATAAGATTACTCATTTGTAAAGTACTGAAGTTGAGAGCTGCAGAGAATGACTGGAGTGATGTGTTTGTGTTGGTGGAGGGTTATGACTCACTGCTTTGCAGTAAAAGTTAAAGGAAGCTCAAGTTCCTGTTTGAGCCAGCTTTGGCTCTTCACCTCCTTTTTCATGTAGCCCGTAGCCTTGACATCTCTCATTTTCTCTGAGTTATTTCATCCCCTCGTTGCTTGATATTAAAGGTATCTGTCACACGCAGCGCTTCAATGCTGGCCAGGGAGACGGCGTGCACACTGAGGTCTTGATGCTTCGTGCTACATAGTAAGTCTTTGAGGCTACAGTACATTGGAGCTTTTAATAAATTATTGCTAATTTGATGTCACTTAAATTTATTACAGTGCTTTTTTTGCAGCGTCAAGAAAAATCCTGCTGTTGATACAGCGTTTTTATTAGCAGATTAGGCAACGCCAATTCAAGGACTGAAGAACAGCTATGTATTAATTCATTAATGGACACATGCTATTGACAGCCTGGGGAAGTGCTGGATCTTTTTCTGATATTCAACACTTTTAGATGTGTGTAATTAACAGTGTTAGCAAGTGTCAAGTTAGGCACTTAGCGTTAAAAGCTAACACAGTTTCCATTAATTTCACCCTCGCACGACACTCAGGAGGGCCGCCCACCAGCCCCGAGCTTAATTAGCGTGCGCGGTCTGATGGATTTATACATCAGTGTCATGTGATTAGCTCACCAATGAGCGGGATTCACCCGCTTTGATAGCAGTAATCGCGGGGCTGCAAACGCAGCTTTAACCAAATTGATCTGAGCGTGTTGTTTGTTCTCAGTCTTTCTCCGGATGATTTGGTCTTGGGCCAAGATACAGCCCGTCTGCCGCGATAGGCCCCACCCTCTCTTTGCAAGTTTGAAATGTGAGCCGCCCATGCTTCCCCCCCCTTCCGCCCTCTGGCAAAGTGGCCGTCGCATTGCATGGATGTGTGTATGAATGTGTGTGTGTGTATGAATGTGTGGCTTCCATCAGTTTCTAATGAATGAAGGTTTTAGGCATGTGGATGTCACTTAGGACACCATACATCTGAGGTGAGAGGACATTTGCTGCTTTTTTTGCTGCTCTCTCTTCTCTTTCCCTGCCCCCACATCCCTCTCTTTCTCTCTCGCTCTCTCTCTCTAGCTTCTTTTTTTAACCCTTTTGAAACAGAACGGTGCTTCCTGTTCATTTTGTGGTTTTGCTATGCAGACACTTTACAGGCTTGTCATTCTGTATGTGTGTGTGTCTGAAGTTTTCGAAGATCTTAACCTGATTCCCTGTGGGCTACATCTTGGAGCAGAGGAGCCAGGTATAGAGGGAGCCCATTAGCACAGAACTCCATCTGTGATTGGCTTTGCACTGGAAACCCAGAGACCGCCGCTGAATAATTGATGTGCATTGTGCAGTCGCTGGACAGGCGAAGAGAGGGAAAACAGAGAGAGAGCCCCAGACAATCAGACCGAGATAGACAGAAAGCTCGTAGATTTCTCACGGGTTCATCTTTGCCTGCTGGTAAAATCCCATTTTCTCTGTGCAATGAGAAGACTGCGATGAGAGCCAGATCTCAAGCGTTGGTAAGTCACGTGACGGTCGGAGTGCATGCGGGCGAGTTGCAGGCAGGTGTATGCGCCGGAACCAAGTCCTGCACATGATCGAGTCGTAACAACTGACTGCGTTTGACCTAGTTCCTCTCTCCCACACAAACGCTCACACATAGAGGGTCAGAGTGGGCTTGATTATCTCCAGGAGGAGAGCTGACCTACTTGAGGCACAGTGTTTTTGTCAGTCCTTTAGCGGGTTGACATGAGCCTGGCGACAGCGTGGCTCCAGCCGGTTACATGGAGAGTCTCTTCCTCTATGCCGGCTACTGTTGGCAGCGAGTGTGTGTTCGTTCTTTACAGGGTTGTAAATCATTGGATGGGGGAGAGGTTTTTTGCATTGCATTCGAGGTTCTGTTTGAAGGGCCATAGGGGCAATTTGTGAGGGAATGAACATGGGAATTCTGTGAGGGGGGGGATTTGTGATGCCTATGCCCCTGCTGTTTGTATATTCAGAAAGCCGGCTTCATCTCTTGTGTTTCTACAGCAGTGTCTGAAGTCTAGGCATGATCCCTAGATATTTATAGTAAGTAGTTGTTTCTTTTAACTGCTACAGGGCGGCAGTAAAAGCATCGTAAGGATAATATACTGCTCGAGCTAAGTCTACAGGTTCCTGTGAAGTTTTTTTTTAAAGCTCTCGGCCTCGGAGTACATGCTGATGGGGAAATAAACAGCAGTTTGCTGTAATGAGGATCCTGCTGTTCATGTGAGAAACTTCCTCCTCGATGGTGAGGAGCTTTTAATAGCTCGGTGCTCTTTGCCCGTGTGTTGTTTTTGTTTGCTGGATTTGCTTTAAATAAACGTGCAAATGTTATGCTAATGTATTGGTGTACTAATGTTTTACACTAGTTACATTTTCTTAAGCTGTCTAAAACTACGCTAGTTTCTCTTGAGGTTAAGACAATAAGAGAGAGAGCCCCAGACAATCAGAGCGAGATAGACAGAAAGTTCGTACATTTCTCACGGGTTCGTCTTTGCCTGATGGATTTTCGTGTTTTTTAAAATGTGCTTTTTAAAGGTTGTGTTGGGATATTAGAATGAATTATGGGGGTCAGTTATCGTATGTATAAAATCTCTTATTACTCAATTTATCAAAGTAAAACAGTCTAACCCTAATAACAGAAAAACATACATCACAGGTCATATTTTACAGCTTTAGGACTGTTGTTCAACTGAGTGTAAAAAGCAGACTAGCAAATGCATTTCATGAATTTTCCACAGACCCTGATAAAGTGCCATTGCCCCAGTGCAAACATTTACTGTTGCCCTTAGTTACAAAGTGGATCCAAGGTAAACATCTAAAGAAGTAGGCTGTGTTAACAAACGAAACAAACCGTAAACTGTCTGATTACTGTTGAAGTTTTTGATAGGATAGTTTGGATTTTAAATTCATCCAGTTCTTAAGAAAGCATTTATCTGCATTTTACAAAGCACTAAGCTGCTACGTTGTTTGGCAGCCATAAACAGTCTACAGCAGTCTAGTGAACTGTTACTTTGCAGAATTATTGATTATTTATATTATTAATAAGATTAATAACTATTGTTAAAAAAAAATCGTTTTTTTTTGCTATTGTCACCATTTTATGGTTATGGGTGTTGTGGTAAAATCACTGTAAACTGATCTATTTAATCTGATATATTTGAAATAATTCCAGAAGAACACTGTATACATCACTCTTCAAAACTTTGGGGTCCGTTTTTTTTTTTTTTTTTTTTAAAGAAAGAAATTAATACTCTTATTCAGCAAGGATGCATTAAATTGATTAAAAGTTATAGTAAAGACATTTATAATATTTCAAAAGATTTCTATTTCAAATAATTGCTGATCTTTTGAACTTTCTATTCTTAAAAGAATGCTGAAAAAAAATGTTTAATGGTTTCCACAAAATATTAAGCAGACTTTGATAATAATGTTTCCTGAAGGATCATGTAACACCGAAGACTTGAGTAATGACTGCTGAAAATTCAGATTTGCCATTACAGGAATAAATTACATTTTAAAATATATTAAAATAAAAAACAGTTATTTTAAATTGTTCTATTGTTACATTTTCTGTAGAAATACACAACCAATCAATGATGTGAATAAGGATATGAATGAACAGCTAAGATTGATGCACATGTAAGGTATAGGAAAGTCATCCTCTGAATCATTACAATTACAGTTTTAACCATCTGTGCCTGAATTGTCTTGTCATAAGGACCTGTTATGAATTCCAAAGAGAATTTCCATTAGTAATATAGGGTAGTCATAGCCTATGGGGAAAAATAGTGACTTTTGAATTGCGAAATGCTTGTTAATATGACTAATTTGATATTTAGATGTTTCCTCATACAGTGACAAATGTGTTAGTCATATGAAGCGTTATCAAGACTTAAGCACATTTGTCCAACTGTAATTTAAATGATGTGTCATGAGATTCTGTAGTGTATTTTTGGACATATTTAGATTTTTAGATGTTGGAATGTCATGTTAGGATTTGGTTCTTAGGATAAAAAGAACCAAATACTGTTTAATACTTTTTAAATGTATCCATTTTATTAAATGATATTATTGTGTTAGACCAGAACTCTAGATTATCTTTGAGTTGCTTAGCTTGAAATTTCTGACAAATGTGCAAGCACCTGGAATATTTCAGCAAATGCATTGATTTTTAGATCACTTCTTTCTCTAATATGAGAAGTCAATTCAACCAGGACATCAGTTCACCCATTGATGACGTCAACTCTGCTTACTGATACTATCTTGTTTTAATATTTCTTTGCCCCCTTGAGTAAAATGTTGAATTTGAACCCTACAGAAACCACCACCTGCAGGAGATGTCAGAGTGACACAGGTACTCTTCTGTGTTCTAGCATTGTTTGGCTTGTGAAACACATCTAGTGGAGAGCTCTCTCTCCCTCTCTCTTCATCGTCACCCTGGGCATTCATTCTGTTTTTTTTTTTATTATTCATTCGTACGCAGTCACAGGAGATGAATCACGATGACGCAGATGCTTTTGATGTGCTTCCTTTGTTGCGGGGGGTCATTGGCTTCTGACTGAGCATCCATACCTGTTTCACAGATGCATGGCCTGCACTATCATCTCAGATTATCCTGGGATTTTTCTCCCGTCATCTATTCTTTTGCGAAGGCACTTTGTAGGTTTACGGCCCAGGTTTTCAGCTTTTTTTCCAGACTGTGCAGCTCATTGAACAGGAATGACGTCCCATTTTGTTGTATTTTATGATCAAAACAAAGCCTTCATCCGTATGTCACTCACTTCTAGGGCTGCCCTGTGTAGTGTGCCAGTCTGTCTGTCAGCTCTTCTCTGTTTCATCGCAGTCATTCATTCCCATTTTACTCGAATCTGTAGTGACAATGCACTGTGCCGTGTGCTTCAAATTCCTTTCCAATTCAAAAGAGCATCAAGCTGTTTCAATCCTCTCAAACAGACAGCAGAAAGTCAGCGAGCGCACATTGTGCGGATGTTACTGCGCTGTAGGAGGCGCATTACATCTGTCACTGACAGAAACAGACAGCGACATGATCGTTTATTTATGCGTTCAAATGAGAAATATCAGTTTCATCTGTTCAAGCAGCTACTCTTTCGTTGTTTGTGTAAATCTGTGTGTGAAGTGTTTTAATCTGCCAGTATCTGACTCTGTGTGTGTGTTGTGCTAGAGAGAGCCCTGAGTGGTTACGTCACCTGGTGTGAGCGGAGGTCACTTTGTGGCCTGTTAGCCTCAGTTAGGGGTTAATAACTCTGACTTGTGTGAGTGTGTGTGTAGTGTAGACTGCACTCAGGTTCAGCGCTGGCCTTAATTAATATGTGAGCCTCTCATACGCGAGGACCTGGCCTGTGTCATTAGTTAATAGTAGTGCGCTGCCTGAGCACATGCCTGCCGTACTGCCGGCCACTGAGAACGGAGAGAAGACTGTTTCCATAGACTTCACCATGCCACATTTACATCACTAGTGCATTTTTACAGTTTTAGCGGGAAGCATAAGCAAATTAGCCAAACTATTTAATAAATGAACATGTAATTGGAATGAAGGAATGTGCTGAACTTTGTGAATGATGTTTTTTTTTTTTTTTGCTAAATTCTACATGTGCCTATTATTTAAGTATGGATTTGACTAAAATAGTAATTTAAAAAAAGGTTAAACAGTAAAAAAGATTTGAAACATCTTTTAGCTGTGAGAATTTTGGTTCTGGCATTGTGTTTCCTGTCTTTATTGACTTGTGTTTTTCTTGTCTCTTGTATTTGTATTCTCTTCTTGCATTTTTCTGGCTTGTGTGTGGCGGTATTACACAAATCTCTCTATGAAGGCTGTTGGAAGTTCTCCTTTAAGCTGCTTACACTCACTGGGAAAGACCTGCATTAACAGATTGAAGTATTTAGGATGGATGAATTTGAGGAGGAATTTGTAAAAATTAGTCTAAGGGACCCAGTATTTCCAAATAAGCAGATTGCAGGAAGGTCAGTCGACATGTCTGCCAATTCACTGTGGCATCGGTCTGAGACTTTCACTGACTCCCAGAGTGAGGGTGAGAGAAAAGGACTCAGAGGACATTTGAAAATATGGCTTGTGTTATGAATTCCAGCCACATTTTATGTTCTAGACGTCCTCATGAGGTTTGAAATCTTCCCACTTTCCAAAGCTGCACTAGTCAAAATTCCAATGTATTCTGTGAATAAGAAGTGGACAGGACATAGATTGTGTAATTCTTTTAGTGAGGTTTGGCTTTTGGCAGAAAATCAGATATTTAACTTTAAGCATTAGCTCTGTTCCAAAGCCTAGCGAGCTGCCTACCTAGCATTTTGAAGCATTGTGGGTTTAAAGCATCTGGATTTGCCTTCTAAGATACTTAATGTTTTGCCAAATTTGAGGCAAGTATGCATCCTTTACCAAGAAAGTTATTCTTGAATTCATTTTGACAAACTCAGTAAAGCAAAATCCAAGATGGTGAAAGAAATCAAACAAATATTGACTGAGTATGCTTATATTCCATGCAGAAGTTTATTGATTAAAATAGTATGTAAAATAAAATACTTAAGACAATATTTGTGTGTACTCTGTATGATTATGGATATTGGTGTTGTAGCTTGGCTCCTCTCCCTTGTCCATTTACTGGCATCTACTTTTTATTAGCAACATCATAATCAAAAAGCTCATAATGAGGCGTTGAAGCCAGTAAAACCAAGAGTTTGGCCGAAAAGAGGTGCTGGCAGAGATGAAGCGGCCAACCTGAGAAGGAGAGACAGGCAGACATTCTTGGGGCGGCTTCAGAGGCGATTTGGGTAACCGGGGGTGACCTGGGTTCCCTACATACTGGATCATTTGGGGATTTACCCTGGTCAGTTATTCAAAGGCCACTAAACCTGCTTGGAGAGGCTCTTCTCTAGACAAAGAGCAGACAGGGAGGGGGGTTGGTTTGTGTAGTGTCTGTCTCTCTGCTCTGTTTTGCCAGAAGTCTGTAGAGCCACAGACTGTTGTCCCCTCAGTAAGATGGTTTCTGCTGCAGTTTGGTACCTTTAGAAATGGCAGAACATGGCTAATATGAGTCACAGAGCTTGTATGGATAGCATGGATCTTACAGCGTTAGCAAATATTGCTATCTGCTTATTTGGAGTGCTGTCTTTTTAAAAGAGTAACAAAACTGTCTTAAAATTATTATTGGTCATATTTAGGATGTAGGGACTTTTAAGAGGGTTGTGTTTTTTGTGTATTTTTTTACTGTTTTATTTTTAATTAGCCTTTATAGTTTAGTTTTTTAGCTTTTACTTTATCATTGCTAGTTTTGTTTTATTTTTTTTTTTACTTATTTTAGTTTTAGTATTTTAGTGCCAAAGTTAATGCACTGATATCATCAAAAAGTATTGAATTTCTCAGCACAGTCTAATATTATTGCTGTCTTGAAGCATTCTCACGTTTAATACAAGTGGGTTTCAAGTTTAGAATATACCATATATTAAAAACTAAAATTTATTTGTGATCATTTTTGTTTTCTTTTTCGTACTCACTGCTTCTATTTGGTAATGCTGTAAAGTACAGTGGGATGTATGATTTAAGGACAGCATGACTGTTTGACAAAAAAAAAACTGCTCTTTATAAATAATAAAACATGCATGTTTATGACCACTTTAAGTTAAATAATTCTAGGAAAGCTCCTCTGTTCCTCTGCGCTTGCGCAGTTGTCTACTTGCACAACAGGAGCTCTACGCAGGCGTGACTACTGCAAATTAATTAGATGTCGTTTGTCTTGAAATTCATCCAATCTTGAGACATTTTGTTCTGCTGCCGGTGCTTCTTTGTGTGGCAGTGTTTATGCAAAATATATTGTATGTATGCTCAGTGATATCTTTTTTTTGTTTTTTTGTTACTGGGGCATTTAAAGAGTAAATGAGCTCAATATTGGACCAAAAATCAGTGCATCGGTGCATCCCTATTGATGAGAGAGATTGCATTACAGTAAACGTTATGCATTAAAATGACAACACAGCCAGCCCCGTGGGTGTAGTGGTGGAGGCGATGATGTTTGCAGGAGAAATCGTGTAGCTGTATTCAGCTAGGTGAGAGGGATATTGTACGCTGCCGGAAGGTGCTGTGTTGATTAGGTTGTTTTTTTCGTGAGTTTACTGGTTGAATTGCAGGCAGGAGAGCTCTAGTCTTTGTTACGTGTGGGAGGCATGCTAGGCGGGGAACAACAGCTGAAAATTGGCAGGCGGCGTCTGGCTGTAACCTGTCATATGAGCTCTAAGTTGGTCTTTTGTGAGAAAATAGCAGTTGCCAGCATGCAGAGGTAGTGATTTAGCTGGCCGATAAGCTCTCTGTAATGGCAGGGTAGAATAATTCTCATTGAAGTAGGTGGGTGATTCCAGCCTCACGCTCCAATCCTGCTGGGACGGCTTTCACGCCTGTCGCAGAGAGGTGAGAAGCGTTCTCTTTGAAACAGACCCCTTTGATATATTTACACAAATGCGATTTTCTCACTGTAATTGTGTGTTTGAACTTGGATGGGAAAGTGCGTCAGGTGCCGCTGGGATATTGAATAACTTAAAGCTGTTTCTTGGAAGAACTCCAGTTCGGATTCAGCAATGCATTAAGGGTCCTTGAATTTTATTCTGAAATGGTTATTAATACAGGCATTTAAATGACTAATGTCGCACAAATATGAATGAAAATTCTGTCATTTACTCTATTACTTTGATCTTCCTGTGGTTCCAAACCTGTTTGACTTTGTCTTCTTTAGACCACAAAAGATGATATTAGGTTGCAGCCCTTTTCCAAACAATAATTGCAACCAGTGTCTGTCAAACTCAAAAAATGACAAAAATCACCATAAAGTATCAAAAAACTGTTCCATACAACAACTTTGTGTGAGGAACTGATCGAAATTCATCCCCTCCACCTTAACTCTCAAATCTCATTGAAAGTTTGGAACGACATGAGGGTGAGTAAATGATTTTTGTGTGAACTATCCCTCAAGTGCAGACTGTGGTAAATAACACTGAGGTGTGTGTTTTTCAGGAGCGTGTGTGCTGGTTTACGTTCCTCCAGCAATAAAGGCGCTGGAGACAGCTGAGCAATCTTCATAGTCATTACTTGCGGATCGATTTAGAGAGGAAAGAGCCAAGACAGACGTCTGTCTCTCTGCACCAGACTCAGAGAGAGCGAGAGAGAGATTCTGGACTCTTGACACCACCCTCTCTGTTCAAATAGCCATAGCAGGTTTTTTTTACTCAGCTACTGTCTGTGAACTAGATTTAGAGAAGAAAGAGGGGTATTGTTCCATGTATGAACTCGTCTTAGGGTAAAGAGAATATTTTATAAGGTCCCTTGCACAATCTGTTTGATGGCAAAGGAAGACTAGAGGTGCAGCACTACTGAAACAGTTCCTGGCTTTTGTTCTTGTTCTGTCGGTGTATGATACAGTTTTTTGGATAATATTTTTTGTTCCCTGTTCTCTGTATGCAGTTCTGAGTCATTCTATGGCACCATTTTCATGTTGGAAAGATGATTTTTAAAGTACATGGCTGTAATGATTTTAAATATTTTATATATTCTGCCAGACAAAGAATGTCTTTAAATGCAATGTGCCGCGTCAAGTTAAATTATTTTGAGGGATTCTGAACTCGTGACATTGGGAATGTGATGAGGTGAACATTTCATACAACCAAAAAAAATCTATATTTTCTCAAATTTTCTTTTTTTCTATTTTATTTGATCAGTTGAATATGGGATATCTGTCAAATGTTAAGATGTTAATCTTGTCAAGCATGTAAATAGATTCATTCTGAAAATTGAGTAGAACTAACTTTAGAATTTGGCTTTCAAAACTCAAATGATGTCACTTCCTCAATATGCCATTTAGAATGAGAGTTAATTATTGATTATTTTAAAGTAAATAAGTAGTGTGATTAGATAAATAACCTGAATATATAATGTTTTTTGTGCATTTTTTTCAATGTTTCAATTCTACAAATTTGTATTAGATTTTTAAACAAATATGTTTAAGTTAAAACAGCAGTTGTTTGTGTTTAGTGCACTTCATCAGAATTGTGGACACAAATGGTACTCTTGTCATAGAATGATTCAGCTAGCAGTGAGTATCTATCTAAATAGTGTCAGTTAGAAAGTATAAGGACCGTTTGTATGAAGAGCACTTAAATGCAGCGCTCGTGTTTCAGCCGTATGCAGCGTGTAGAATCGATTAGACCAGGTTTTGGCCACATGCCAGCTGCTGCCATCCCGAACTGACTCCATCACCATGGCGAGAGGCACATTTTGTCACCCCTCTCAGGAGTAAAGTACTGCCAGGACACATCACTGGCATGCTTCACTATCCTCAGCACTGATTCTCATCTCCCATTTCTCGCTCTTTCTCTCCCTGTCCTTCATCATCCTCCCTTCACGAGAGGGGAAGACAGGTCTTCTGTAGTAGGATCACTGCTTAAAGTGCACTGCAGATGAAAAGCATATGATCCTATGAAAAACATACTGACAAGCTATTATAGAGGATCTCAAGCATGCTTGTACCTCTACTGTGATTGTAGTGACCTCTAGTGGTAAAGACATGAACTGATTAAGATTTTGCAACACTTTTGGCATCACTATCATCATTGCTTATAACTGTAAAAAAAATACTGACATTCAAACCAAAATGGCACCTAAAATCGTGTTAAGGAAAGCTGTGCTAATACTTGGCGGCGAGTTTTGCTCCTGCTAAATAGCAATCTGAAGATAAAAAAAGCAAGATTGCTGCTTAGTCAACAGGTGATTTGTCTCTGTGCCAAAGATCCTTTCTGATCTTTCTTTCTCTCTTTCTCTCCAGCTCTCCTTTCGTCCTGGTGTGAGGAGCTGGGACGGCTGCTCTTGTTGCGGCATCAGAAGAATCGTCAGAGTGATCCACAGGGCAAAGTACCCTTGCAGCCGCCCATGAACTCCATGAAGCCCTCGCTCTCACATGGGTCAGTACCCAGACAAAAATCTGCTCTAACCCGACACTTGCTGGAGCCGTTCTAAACACTGTTAAACTCACAGTAGTCTCACCCCTTTCCGCTTTCTCAGAATGTCCTCTCAAAATGGAGTCCTAGTGCACTCATCCAGCACAGAATTGTTTGTTTTTATGTGGCATATGATCTTGAACACAAGGCTTTTCCAAGAAGCATTCGACCAATCACTGAAGGTTGTGCAGATGAAATTCATTCTCACAGTGTTCCAAACAACAGCAGATGAAAACATGATTTCGTAACATTACCCTCTAGGTACGTCAACAAGAAGTTGATAGATTGTCAGAGAAAACGTTAGCTGAGGAAGTTCACTAGCTTAGTGAGGTTTTTCAGAACATTTTGTGCTCTAGGGCTGGTGATTGGCCACTTTCGCAAACATTACAGCTTCATTTTCATGGAAAAACTAATGTTCTGTAGTCAGGAGGGAGCTTTTTTCTTTATCGGGCTGTGTTGGAGTCAACTTCACTCTTTCTCAACACGTGTTTGATGCCCCTGATCTCACATTACTGTTTGAACACTGTTTTGTAGTGATGGGTCCTTTCCATATGACAGCGTTCCCTGGCAACAAAACGCTAACCAGGCCCCTGGCTCATTGTCAGTGGTTACGACGGTGTGGGGCGTTACCAATACATCACAAAGTCAGGTGAGTCACACATATAGTGTCACTGTACAAAAACAGTAATAGTGATAACGTTGATCTTGTAACCGATGTTGCTTTTGATCTAGGTATTGGGTAACCCCATGGCCAATAGCAACAATCCCATGAACCCTGGAGGCAATGCACTAGGGTCAGGTATGTCAGCCAACAACCCAGGGATCAACTCACCTCAGTTCCCTGGCCAACAACAACAGTTTTCAGCCAAAGGGGGATCCAACCAGGCCTACATGCAGCAAAGCATGTATGGGCGTCCAGGGCACCCAGGAGGAGGAGGTTTTGGTGGAAGGTAATGTTTCAAGCATTAGAGAGACCGTTCCATACAGGATGATGGGAAGTTGTTTGACAAAATTGTTTTGCATCTCTTTGGGAGATTCAATCAGCTATAGAAGAGTCTCCCATTAGTGATACTTGACACATGGTTTTAAAGCCAAGCCAATACTCAGTTCAAGGATGTTTTTCTTAAAAGGGATGATATCACTTTCTTGATGTGCCAAGTGCAAATCCAGGAAAGATTTATGTGGCATTCCAACAAGTTTTATTCCAATAAATAGACCTCTCTGTCTCTGTAAGTTGTGATGTAGACGTTTATGTGATGTGTATTCCTTCTGCTCAGTTATCCGGGTGGGCCGAATGCTCCAGGCGGTATAGGCATGCCCCCTCATACACGACCGCCCTCGGATTTCACCCAACCTGCTGCTGCTGCCGCCGCCGCCGCTGTTGCTGCTGCAGCCGCCACCGCAACAGCTACTGCCACAGCAACCGTGGCGGCCCTGCAAGAGACCAACAAAGACATGAACCAGTACAACCAGGTTTGTCCCTCGCTGCTTTTGGCTTCTTT